GTAAGATAGGTGTTTCCCACAATGCATTCTCAGTGGAGCCTGCTATGGGAGTCTGCACATCTTACTGTCACTGGCTTTAACAATTTTTTTCACCAGACCAAAGAGTCTATGAGGAAAAGCTTCATATCGGTCATGCTCACTATTTTATTCTCAGGGGCTTGGAAAATACTAAGAATATTATAAACTGTTGATGAATGAAGAGAGGAAGAGAAGAAAGGAGATGAGAGGAAGGAAGAAACTTTTCAAATATTAAGGAAGCCAATTCTTCAGTTTATTTAGTATTCAAGATACAATAATAAGGAAAGTACTTTTAGAAGTATTTCCTTTATGAGTAGAAGTTCATTAACTCCCTTCTGTGCTTATTAAATTGCAGAAAATAATAGAAAAACGTGTGATTTCCTTCTCTGATCCCTTTAGGAAATGAAGACACAAATCATAGCATACAAATGGCTTAAACCAAAGCGGTTCTTCTTAGTTCTTATGTCACTCCTTTTGGAGTCAGTCCAGCTCTCCACACTGCCATCTGCGGTGTGTCCTGCACACCGCTCACTCGCCCGCCTGACTCTTCTCTGCACTGGTGCAGTCTCAGCTCTTTTTCATTCATCTCCCAGTGTACTGTTGTTTACCTATATACTAACAGGAGAGAGAGAGAGTGTGTGGATCAACTGAAGGGGTGGGTTGTCTAAACGTATCTTTGTTTGGCTTCCAAAATACAGTGCAGTTTTTTTATATAACCAGATAATTTGATCACTGCTTGGGAAACAAAATTCCTTATGTAACAGTCCAAACTGGAAACCACAGCTGTTTTTAGCAATTGAGTCATTACTTTCGATAATTATAAATAAATAAATTATAAATAATATTTATAAGAACCACCATTCAATAGGAATTAATAAAACAGCTTTATATGACCTCCCTAATCTCCCTAAGAGGGAGAGAAAAGAGTATTCTTAGCATGTCAAGTTTTAGATGAAGAAACAAAGAAATCAAGTGACTGGTCATGCAACAAAGCCTGAGTGCTAGCACAGGCCATCAGATGTGAAGTCCTGGGCCCTATCTCCCATTCAAACAGAGATCTATTACATTACTCTCATACGGCTCTGTTCTGGTATAAAATCTGCCCCTTTAGTCACTGTGGCCGTAAGAAGGGTGGGCCATTAGAAATTCCCTTAGCTTGTAATAGAGAAGTGTGGTAGTTAGGCTGGGGTGAAAACTTTTTTTCCTCCTCATACTTTTATTGAGAAACAAATAGCAATGAGACAGTTTCAAACCAAAATGGTAGGACAGTTTCAATAATTAACACATTGCACACATTCTTCCTAGTGGTTAACTGCTATACAAGATGTGGCCATGATATCCTATTTACAAACACTATTAGAACAAATCCCTCTATTCATTAAGAGAATGTAACTATATATCT